GATGCTGACTATCCTTCGTCCTGATGTGCATCACTACAATTGTTAAAGCAACGGCCACTGACAGATGATTAACCGGTCGGTATGTGAAAATCAACGCCGTAACCGCAGGTCATCTGACAGGCTAAATCAGATTCCTTTCTCACTGACAGCAAGTAAGGTGATAGCGTGGCAGCCGCCTGTCAACCGGAGTAAACTAATTTCAAGACTTGTTGTTTTGATAGGACTGCTTTTAGACGTCCTATTTGTCTTAGACTTATAACAATAATCCACTGCTACATTTTCACTAACCGGACTTTCCCCTTTTTCGTTAAATTACGCCAATGTAAGGTTGAGTTTCCAACAATAGGCATCAGTTGCCTGAGCAACAGTAGTTTATGTTGGTGGAGTTTATTCTATTTAACACATTGAAACAAACACAACTTTAAACTTCGAACGAAAAGTAGGGAGAAGAATTTTAAAAAATAAGAGTGTGGTATGTATTTACCAGGGTAATTGCAGATTAACTACATAGTCTAGTTGCTTACATAGGTCGGGTTTCTCCCGCCGTATGTAGGATGCTTCCATGTAACGTAAGGTCCGGCTTGTTCGTGCTCGAACATGAACGCGGAAAAATGTGTTGGTATCAACGGGGTGACCCCTGTCTAGTAAGTGTTTTTAATAGATGACAAAAACAAGTTTCTTTAATTTAATATTTTGATCCTTTCCAACTACCCTACAAGGCAGTTTTGCAGTTGCTTTTTTTGTTTGATCCTGACGAACTAGAAAATTTTCCACAATAGCGCTAGTGAGAGGTACATCGATTTCACATAGTTCCAGTTAGCCAGCGTGCTGTTCACTGTCGTAGACTCGCAGTAAGTGGCATGACGCATAATAGTAACTAACTAAACGTAAGGTCTCTAAACAATGCGAACTCTCTCCAAACACATAATTGCCAACTCACAATTAAAAAATGACCGTCAGGTAAAACGAAAACATCGAATGAACATTTGCAGTAGTATTACGTTGGTTAGGGATTGGAACTCATGTCATGTGCAAATTACTGAATAAATGAAACGGCATAGTTACAAAAACGTTCAGAAACTGTTTTCCTTTCTGCAATTTACACTTAAATAGTCTACAGAGCATAGTTTACCTTGCCGTAGGGCAGTTTCTTACGGGAATTTGATGTAATTTTTGAGTTTTTGTATTGCCTAACCTGCGTTTTTCTAAGGGCATGAGGATTTAGCTTGATTCCACAAATGTAAGTGTCGCGGGAATGGAAATTTTTATAGGATCACATATTGAGAT